AAGATGCAGCAATAGTAATCTTGTTGGATGAGGCAGTTATTTCAAGGTAGGATAAAAACCACCAGAAGCTACATTTATTTTCAGATGTCCTTCAATCACAGATGGGTAATTTGTCAGTAAGATGGGAATCTTACCAATTTACAGTTTCAAAAGGGTTTATTTGTGATATAGTGTTCAAGGTAGGGACTTAGCACAGATAAAGGTATGTGTTACTCAGTTATGGGTGTTTGAGTACAGCATGGCCAGCAGGTCAAGGAAGATGATTCTCCCCCTCTACTCCACAATCCAGAGACCCTGCTTGGAGTACTGTGTTCAGCCCTGGGGCCCCCAACATGGGAAGGACATGGGCATGTTGGAGCAAGTCCAGAGGAGAGCCACGGAGATGATTGGAGGGCTGGATCACCTCTCCTTTGAAGACAGGCTGGGAGAGTTGGGATTGTTTGGCACGGAGAAGACAAGGCTGCAGGGAGACCTTATAGTGGCCTTCCAGTACCTAAAAGGGCACTACAGGAAGGATGGAGAGGGACTTTTTACAAGGGCTTGTAGTGATAGAACAAGGGGTAATGGCTTCAAACTGGAAGAGGGTAGATTTAGAATAGAAATTAGGAAGAGATTCTGTACTATGAGGGTGTTGGGGCGCTGGAACTGGCTGCTCAGGGAAGTTGTGGATGCCTCATCCCTGGAAGTGTTTGTGGCCAGTTTGGATGGGGCACTGAGCAACCTGGTCTATTGGGAGGTGTTCCTGCTCATGGCAGGGGTGTTGGAACTAGATGATCTTTAAGGTATCTTCCAACCTAAACCATTCTATGAAACAGCTTTGGCTTTTTCGTGGCACCGATATGGTCCTCAAAATTGACTTGAGGGATGTTTTGGCATCTTGAATGTGAGCATGCAGTTGTGTGACTCAGTTACTTTCTGATTTTTATATTTCATTGGTTTTGGTGGTAGCTATGTTCCTTAACTGTAAACTTGGTAGTCAGCTATGTTTGGGGAACAAACAAATTCCTGCTTTCATTGTCTTTCTTTTTGAGTGAGCAGAGATGGTATAGTTCAGGGCTCTGATAGGATCCTTCACCTTTATTCCTTGGGGTATGATAAAAATTCTGGCCATATGAAGATCAACAAAAATCTGCTTAAATTGGTCTCTTTTTATTTTGAAATTTGAGCATAAAGTGTATTTTTTTTCAGGGCAATATTCAAAATTATTAATATTTGATTGTGATAGAGCTTTATAGGAAGGAGTTTGAAAATCTCCACCTAGTGTTTATTGGACTAATGTTGCACCACATTTACATATGTTTTGGAGTTCTCAGATCAAAGATCAAATGCATGTAGTGGGAGATTTGTGTGGTTTTCCCAGACAACTATGAAAAAAATTGATACTGAAGGATCATGTTCTTGTTATCCATGTTGTTTCCCCACTTAAAGACAAAGGGAGGTACTGAAATTAGCGCTGTTTTGGGAGTGATGTAGGATCCTTTTGTTTAGTATTGTATCAGTCATTCACTGATTTACAACAGGAGTTGAGGGGGCTTTGGCCCATTTGCCAGTATAGCTTAGCGTGTAGTGTTCATGTTCCAGGTTGTGTGCTGCAAGAGGGGACCCTGTGACTGCACAGCCTCCCAGTACAGATCATAACTGCCTCTGGCATTCTAAGCTAACCTCACAGGGCACTGCAAAGACATAGCAGAAAGGTCTTGCAGTTGGTAATACAGGTAGCACACCATTTTTGTTCAGTACTACCTTATTTCTGCATGGAAAGTTCATGCTTAGTCTTCCTTTTTTTTCACTTCCATGTTTAAGGGCACAAAACTTCATTTGACTTATTTGAGAGCAACTAGCATTGGTGGAAGTGTGTTCTGAGTTGGGCTTTTATGGTGGCGTGATTTTTCAGTGTGCACTGTCAAACATGAATATCTTTAAAGAATCAGATATTTCACAGGAATGTTTAATTAAACATTGCATCTAGATAGTTGATTCAAGAGATCTCTTTCACAAAATTCTGTGGATAACTTTATTTAAAGGCTATCTGTTTTTCACGGAGTATGTTATGTTACAAAGCATACTTTCTAATCATTGGTATGCTAAAAAGTGTAGTTGAATTGCGGTTTTAGCTTTGCTCAAATATTGGATTGGGGTTTTAAGAAAGAAAAAAAAAAAATTAAAAGCTGGATAGTATTAAATCTTCCCAATAAGCAAATCTCTCTTCCATCTAATTTGTGCTTTTGTTGCAGCTAACAAATAATTTGCTGTATGGGTTTTTCTGTACACCATTGATGGAATATATAAGCTTGTCATCCTAGCGTGCTGGAAGTGCTACACTCAAATCAAGTGTTCCTTTCTGGTTTTGTATATCCTCACCTGCTCCTCACTGTAAATCATTGAGATGTCAAGAGCAGTGATTAATTAAGCTGCACGTGCAAGTGCTTTTTTTCACCTGTCAAGTAGGAAGAAAACTTACTATAGTGAATTGTGTGATGCTGTTTAATTCATTTCTTTCTATTCCAAGCTTTGAGGTTTGCAGAAATATTTTAGAGTTGTATTTTCACTCACATTTCTGTATTGATATTCTGATGTGATTTGGGAGGTATGACTAGCCCAGATTACACTACAGGAAGAATTGTGTTTAAGGTTCTGGAAACATAAATAACGGTGGTCTTGGGGCAGCATGTGTTTTTATTTGATACTAGTCAAATGATTTTAAACTGGCTTCTTATTTAAATAAACCAATTAATAGTACATAGCTACCTATCAATTTCTTATTTATGTGTACGCATTGTAATATATATGTAATTTTATTGGAATTTGAAAAGCTTGGCTGTTTTTCACACTCCTTGGGGCAAACAATGAAATTAAATTGTATAGTGATCTTAATCTATTATTAAAAGGTCCTGGAATGGAAGATTACAAGGTAGATTCAGGTTTTGAATCAGTTTTGCCATTGGTTTAGCAGCGGGTGGGCAGGCAGATGCCTGCTCAGAGTAGAACCTATTGCCATTTTTCACCATTGATAGAGTAGCCTTTCAGAGTCAATGAGCTCTGTCAATGTGAGCTTGTCAAGGCTACAACTTCATAGACCTGAGAGGCGGTTTGAGAGGTCAGCCCTTTTCAGGTTTGCTGTGATGCAAATGAACTTTAATGCTTAAACAACTATTGGAATTTTTATGTCTGCTCCTTGTTCTTTTTTCTTCACAAAGTCATTGACGAGACATTCAGTGCTTTTTAAATTGGAAGTTGCATTGTGCTAAAGACCTAGTACAGATTTACGGAGGGCTGAAAGCAGTTAGATCATGTTCTTTTCATGGTGCGATTAGAATCAAATCGATT